GTAAGCGGCGTGGGGAAAGGCCGGGCTGGTGGGCGTTTGGGCACTGAGAGCCGCAGAGGCAGGTTATCAGGGTTCCCTAAAGACGGTGGAGCCTCAAAGGGATGAGGCCCTGGCAAAAATGACTACTTAGATTTGCACGTGTCCATGTTCAAAACCAAGTCCCCGCAGTCACGGCGCCCAACTGACACCCCTGTTCATAGCACCATGGGAGCCCGACGGCCAAAAAATTCCTTGCAGTTCACCAGTCCCACGCACAAATCACCGAAGCAGCGAGCGTGGCTGCGCGCACGCAGCTTCAGAGCAGCGCCCGCGTAACCCAGGATGTAAACGCAGTGTGATCCGGCCGTGCCAGGACAGCTAAGCAGATGGGATATTCGGCACGAAGGGAGCGCTACCATGCCCTGAAGATACTTGGGGAATACATCTGGAGCAGTTGCTACTCTCTCACAGCTGGGAGTAAGTTAATGACTACATTGTCTTTGCAATCTGCCTGCTCCTCGCCAGTGCGGTTCAACCCCAGAACACGCCGAGCGCGCTGATCCCGATGGAGGATCTCTGTGTAATACATTATGCCTGGAAATAACCACTAAAGGTAAAATTGTTACCTGCTGAAAAGTAACGGTGCTCTTGCTTTGCTGGACAGAGCCAGAGCCCTAGAACCTAGCAAGGAAACGCTACTTTCATAACGTCTCGGCCTTGCATTAGTCATTTCCTCAACGATTTTGTCTTAAAGATCTTTAAGCCAAGGCGACCGTGTATTTGCTCGGCCCCTTCTTTCAGGTGTCCTGCAGCATCACTCTACCAGGACTTCAGACGAGAGGTCAGTACCAACAACTTCAGCCCAACCAAATGAGTTCATTACCGATACATCAGCACACCTTTTCCACAGCTTTCCCTCAAAATAGACAAGGATAATACAACGAGCGGCACTTCTCTTTAATTACGCCCTGAAGGAACGTGTGACTACTTGACAGTGCGAACGCTAGAAATACAGTTCTTTAACCTAACAGAAATAAAGCCCAGAGGAGGAAGCACACAACACATCCTGACTGTAGGAGTCAGAAATAGATCCCGTAACGGCTAGCTTCTGTGTTTGCACAGCTTGCACGCTACCCAAGCCTCTGCTGCTAAGTACACCCAGCCTGCCTAACAAAACAAGCGTGCCAAGGCTACCTCAGAAAGGAAAGTCACGTTGGGAGTAATGGAACCTGCCTGGAGGCTGCACGTCTGACCGCAACAAGAGAAGCCCAGACCTTGGAGGAGACATTCTTCCTGGAATACTTTTGAGTAGAAAGCTATGAAAAATGCTGGAGGTGTTTTGGATTCATCTTCACATCAAAACTTGCATTTTTTACCAGGGTAGCTCCTTGAAGTCATCCGTGGATGAGAGTGTAGATTGGAATTGTCACTGGAGGAACAACGTCCCGTCTGGTTAATAAGCCAAGCCCAACACACGGATGCTGGAGTCATCCTACGTCAGTCAGTTACCAGCCGCGAAAGTGGGGTGTGTCCGGGTCACACCAGCGAAGTGTCGCCAGCCCTGTGTTCCGCCGGGGAACGGGGCTGCGTTCCTGTACGCTACAGTACTGTTGGCAGAGACACTCAGGAAGCGTAAGGTTTGAGAATCCCTTGTTGGTGACTGGCATGTGCCTTGGACAGAGGAGTGGTGGAATGTGAGACAGCAGTTACTCGTTGGGCTGAATAAGGAACTCGTAGAGACTTTCTGAGGTAGCCATAATGAGGGGAAAAACCCCACTGAAGGAAAAGCATAGCACCATGTTCCATAAAAAACAGAGGCTTCAGAGCACTGGTCTTTTCCTCCCGTGTGCAGCCAAACTCCTGGACTCGACACTCGATTTTTGTAGAATTCTGGCCGTTGATTCACCCATCAACCACACACAAAACAGGTTTATGGATTTACCCTTCTTCGCATCGGGGGTGTCTTGGGTACCAAAGGCTGCGGGCGTCACCGTACTACAAGTTCTTCATGCAGACCTGGCAGCGGCTGACCCTCGTCCGAAGCTGTCCCGCTTTCAGGGTTTCTGAGGGAGGAGCACCGACAAACTGCTGCGACTGTTCAACCGTCGTCAGCCAGAAGCTGTACTTGTTTGCAAAGTAGTGGCACGTTCCCCGGGCGCCGTTGCACTCAATGAAGGGAGTAGCACGGAAATCCTCCAGGCAAGAACCAGGGGAGACCAGGGACTGTCCTCCACCTTCCGCACCGGCCGCAGTATGCTGAAATAGAGAGTTTGAATGAGTTCAGAGGGACAGAATGGGGGCAAAACAGGGGAATCCTCCACTTCCATTGTTAAAAGGAGTAACACAGGCAACCGCAATTACACCGTGGCTATGTCTGTCTCTCGGGCCAGGGCTAGAGGTGAAGGAGCAGCGGAATGTACTTGGGCTGAATGCACAGGCCGGTGTAACGGAAAAGCTGCTTTTCACAAGCTGGGGAAATTTGGAAATAATAACGCTGACTTCACACCTTTCTAACGGTCTTACACTAACGAGCTTCTCGGAGCGTGCAATGGAAGATGTTCTACTCCTTCCACCGAGAGAGGGGATTAATGCTGTAGCTTAATTAGCATTTCCACATGTAAAGGTTTGAAGAACAAAGTGTCTGTGGCAATACAGAACAGCTGCATCGATGTTACTGCTGAACTGATGTGATGATGATGCCCCATCCCTGGGAGTGTCCAAGGCCAGGCTGGATGAGGCTTGGAGCAACCTGGTCTAGTGGAAGGTGTCCCTGCCCATGGCAGGGGGTGGCACTGGGTAGGCTTTAAGGTCCCTTCCAACCCAAACCATTCTATGGTTCTATGACCTGGAGCAGTGCAGGTGGGGAGGGCAGCCAAACGGGGGCAACCTCAGCAAGGCTACAGCAGGCCAGCTGACAAAGAATAAATGCACCAGGGCAAGAAGCCACAGGGCTCTAGTTTCCTGTAAGCAGCTCACAGCATAGTGCCACCTAATCAAAGAGGAGGTCAAGGCACGTTTAAAGCTGCCTTCACGTGAGCAATAGTATCCTTACCATAAGGAAGGAGTATCCTATCCACAGGCTGCGCCAGCCAAGGGGACACTGTGGGATGGTGATGTCCTGGCTGTGCACAGCCACAGCCTGGGACGGTGCTTCACAAACTGAGCAGCGACTGATGTACTGCGGGATCTGGACACTGTCCACCGGCATCATGGGGATAGGAGCAGTGGTGGAGAGCCAGTAGGACTTGTCGTTTCGGCTGGCGTAGTAGCACACTTCATTGATGTTGCAGTAAATAAAAGGCATGGTGCTGAAGCGAGGCAAACACGAGCCAGCAAAACCTGGAAAAAGGGGAGAAGTGGTTCCATCAAGCATCTCCCAAATGCTCCAACTCGTACACGCCAGATCTGAGTGACGGAGGATGGCACAAGTGACACTGCTCCCAGCACCGATTCTGGCCAAGCAGACTCCTACCACCTCTGCTACAGCCCCCCCGGTGCCACTGAAGAGTGCTCATTTGCAGCGGGGGTTTGGCTTACGTTGTTTATGCCCGAGAGGATTCTGTCAACTCACCAAGATCCTGGTTGTGTGACTTTTCCTGCCCCTCCACGTACAATAAGCTGTAGCCGTCCCACAGCTTGTTCATTCCTATGGGACAAGGTGGGATTTGGTCTGACTGACTGTGCTTCACTAAAGTGTATCCAACGCCCACACTCCGACCAGGCATTCCCGGCAAACCAAGCGAGCCCGGCTTTCCAGCAGCACCTAGAAGACAGAAGAGGAGTCACTATTGCTGACAGGCAGTGTGGGCATCAGCTGGCTTTGCACCTGATTTTGGCATTGCTGGCAGAGGGGTACAATGAGGAGTCCAAATTTTGATGGATGTTACATGAGTGAACACCGAGACCGACCAGTTCCAGAAGCAGTCATTTCACAGCAGCACCCACCCAGTTCCTACCCCATTTAATGTTCTGTGCCCCACAACTCTGGTGCCGATGTGTTAGCACGTCTCTCACAGCACAGCGATTCTGAGGATCTTAAAGCACCCACCAAACCCTAATAAATTCATTTTTGCTGTAGTGCTCTTCATGATGACATTCCTTTGACCCTCACAGCTGTGTTCTCTGTGAACACCATTTTGCTCTTTTAGATCTTCCAGGTGACTCCCACATCCACAAAACAT